GCTGCGCGATTGCCCGACTAAGGCACTGAAATCTAGATAAGAAAGAAGGTTTTATTCCGAGGTCCTTCAGATTAGGCAAGTCAATTAGTAAAAATGCCTTGCACCTGTGTTGTATTTAAGTGTAAGAACCGATATGATGCTGCAGTGGACCGAAGTTTTCACAGTTAAGTTGTTTCCCTTTTAAAAAATTTGAATGAAAGTGTTTCTATGTCCCCAGCAACACAATTTAAATCATTAATATTCATAAGAGGCTGGCTCCGGCGCTACATGCCAAGGCCAACCCAGGCTGAAAGGGATACAACAACACCCCAGCAGAAAAGACTGGGATACTCAATTTAAAAAAAATATTCTTATTCATAAATATATATAATTATTATGTGTGTATGTATATACATATTATACATTTTAATTAAAGATATTGCTTTCCATTGTGTGCGCAAATTAGATGCTACTGTTGTCTAAATGTAGATGTCTAGAGGCTCCATTAGAACATGAAATCAATACTCAACAACAATAATGATGAATATTTTCTATGTTAAAGAAACACCAAACCATACCAGATGAGGGGAGAAGGTAGGGTGGGGTGGATAAGAGTTTGAGTCTTGTTAGATAGAACTATACTCGGTTTAATTCTATTGTTGTAGTCTTCACCTCGGATCCCACAATCAATAATTCCGGTTCACTTAAGATTCTACTGTTAAAAAAATAAACCAAACAAAGCAACAACAAATTTTACTACACAAGAGTCATCACTAAGATAAATTATCCCCCTTTGGAGTGTAATAAGGGACTAAAAACACTGCTCTCCATATCATACTTTACTGAGAAAAAAAACCCCCTTCAAAGGTTATCCACGCTCATGCATGCGATCACACCTACAAGGGTGCTGTTATCTCTTTTTTTTTTTTTTTTTATTTGAAATCATTGTGCGCTCCACTTTGTGAAAACCAGGAAACAAAATTATTGTGATCAATGATATTATTTATAGACCAAGACATACTGTTAGCAATTAGATAAAGCAAACATCGACCCTCTTTTGTGTCCGCTATTCCTTACACATAAAGTTAGTTATGGCACACGCCTAGAATCATGCAATCATATATCTTAAATTCAGTTTAAAAGTATATTTTTATCCATTTTTTATAATTAAATATTTTAGCATCTTGAAAGATTATCTTTTTAATTTAGTATGTTTGATAATTTTATGTTACTCGGACAAGTTTTCTTCTTATTTTACACATCTTTTTGATTTTTAAACTAGATTATAACATAAAACTCTTGAAGAATTGAACAGTCCGTATCACACACATAATTTTTTTCTCCCTATCATTATCTGTCAGCCCGTCAGTTGATCACAATCTCTCTCTCTCTCTCTTTCTCTCTCTCTCTCTCTCTCTCTCTCTCTCTCTCTCTCTCTCTGTCTGTCTGTCTGTCTGTCTGTCTGTCTGTCTGTCTGTCTGTCTGTCTGTCTGTCTGTCTCACTCTCTCTCTCTCTCTTTTATTTATTTTTTCCCATTCTCCTTCGTCCCTTCCCAAGGCCCGCCCCTCCTCTTTCATCCCAGCCCCATCCCCTCTTCCTTGCGGGCATTCCCTCACCCCGCCCACCCCCACAACGTGGCCCAGCCCGATAAAATTCTATAAAAAGAAACGCCACAGTTCGTGATTTAGCCCACAGTCGGTCGCCATATTTGATCCCCACCGCGGCGTACTGCTCGTGGCGCCGCGAAGAGAGAGAGGAGGCTCCATTAGTTCTAAGCTCCTTGACTACATAGTATTACTGTAAACTGTCTGATCCACCACGAAAACATACGCGCCAAAAGCTTTTATTTTGGAAAAAGGTTTGGGGTTGGGGTTCCATCAGAGATTGTTTATCACCCTCCCAATAAAAAAAAAGACCAGCGCAGCACCTCAACAACAGCAGCAATTAAAATAAAAACAATTTAAATCCCCCCCTCCTTTAATTACATGCGTTTTGCTATCGTACGTGTGCCAGTGCAAACTTTATATAAAGTTATTATATCTCGGAGTAATATAGATATCTATATTACATAAGCACCACGAGCGCTGACTTGCTTTGCTTTGTTTGCGTGTTTGTTTGTTTGTTTGTGTGTATGTCATTGTGTGCTGAGTGTGTGTGTGTGTGTGTGTGTGTGTGTGTGTGTGTGTTTGTGTGTGTGTGTGTGTGTGTGTGTGTTTGTGTGTGTGTGTGTGTGTGTGTGTGAGTTTGTGTGTGTGGGTGTGGCAGGGGGGAGGAGGGGGTAACGGTGGGGCCACCCATAAAGGCGGGGGTCCGCCAAAT